GGTTCCCCTTTAAGAATACATTTACGTACTAGGCTTGATTAAAGAGCGGCAGTCGTCGCGCCGCGTCCTGTTCGATATGGGACTCATAGCAACGTATACAACGCGTGTAAAATACATTGTTTATTTACATGAAATTCGAACACGCGCTGCGCGACGACCACCGCGCTTTAAACGCCAACAGAGCCAATCTTCATGTAATGACCAATTGTTGAAAAAGAAAGGAAGTTTGTTGTGATCTATTTCAATGGAAAGGAAATTATACAACATATCGTGATGTAATATAACCATAATTTCACGTTTCCATCCACAGAAAAACTTGACACTTTCGGCAAGAATATTACCTCAAGAGCCTTGGAGCTGTACCCCCATGATGGCCCGAATGATACCCCCGAGCTGGCATTCACTACTATGACAACTGATATTCGTGTGACCTGTGGAAATGAACTCGTTGCAGAAGCGGCTGCCAAATCTTTGTCATCTCCAGTCTATCGTTACGTGGCCACATCATGGCCATCGCAACCTGTTTCAATCTTTGGTGGTTTCCCTTTCGAACCTCGCTATGGTTTTCACCTGTGGGACACCTACGCATTTCTAGGGTTTGTTCCCGATTATATCTACATGCCGACAGACGAGGATATGGCCTTTCAGGAACTGATGCAGAGGTTGTTCACTCATTTCGTCAAAGAAGGTGTGATGCCAGTGACCCATTCTATAGAATGGCCAGCTGTTCCACAAGGCGTTGCCCTTCTATCTAGTAATCTTACAATTGTTAAACGATATAACGAACAGCAATGCAAGTTCTGGCTCGACAACGATTTTTATGCGTATTCATTTATGAACTAACATGAATCTGAAATTAATCAAGAGAAAAACAAATTTGCGAGTTATTCCCGAAGCCTATCATAATTACACAATAAAGTGAAATATTATTTGAAATATATATATTTGTACAAATACAACGGTATAATATAGAACAGTGTATTAGTCGCGACACCCACTCAGTATCAAGCTCCTCTTGACATACAACTTCTAGTCATCTTAAATACTAGTAACTTAAAGGTGGATGCTGAAAGTGTACAACCGGATTCCAGGAAAAGAAAATGTGACATCAATCGCCCTGCAGCCTCGGATAATCTTATGAGGCTCGTGGACGGCTTGGTAGCTACACTGGATGCGTTCGTGGCATTTGTTTTGTTTTTAGTGGTGATTTTGGTATTTACATCAAATAGAGAAATATGAAATATTTTCTCACAAAGCTTGACAAGACGCAATCCCCATCGTACAGTAGTTAATAAAACTAAAACCAGTCAGCCATTTTGAATAATCATCTACCCAATAAACCCAAGTTACGAATTGAAACTCGTAGTAATGTGCATGCCTATGGAAGCAGACAACCACTTGACAATACTGGTACGTTCAAAGCTGATGTCAAGTCTTATCACAGCCGACATGTATCAAAAACACACTCTTCAGTTTTACCTTTTCATCTGATGTAGGTCTGGTCTACGTAGCTAATCAGATAACATATGACAAATCTCTTCATTACAGGAACATGTTTAACGGAATTTCTTAAACTGTATCTAGTGTAGGTTACATGAAGATGTGCAGTCAATTACTCAATGCCATCAGGGGCGGATATAGGATTCTGGAATGGGGGGGGGGCAATAAGTTGGCCGAAGGCAAACTTCGCGAGCGCCGATGGCGCAAAGCCCTGTTGGTTGTTAAAAATAGGGGGCGCGGCCCCCGGCCCCATCTAAATCCGCCAATGGCCATGGCGGAAATCTTTTTCATGTTCACAAAAAGGCAGAAGAATGTCATCACTTATAAGAGAGGAAATAGCATCTACGAATTTTTGAAGTATTCGATCAGACGTGTAGTGTGCATTTCAACCTGATAAATAGTAAATAAAAAAATGGTCATAGTAATGTTACTAAAGTTAAGGTAGCGGGACTATTATTTGCATACTTGTTTTCATACATACATGGAAATTGTACACAATTGATCGAGAGACATTTGCACAGATTTCCTGTCTACTACCATGGCGTACCACATTATACAGATTTCAATATTATTATTAAACTAATGTATTGGCAGTTTTCATAAAAAAAACACTATATTATAAATAACACTATATCAGAAAAATATAATGAAAAATAATAAAGAAATTGAGCTGATAGTTTTCAAGAAGAAGTCGAACATGGGTTGGCATAAATGATATCACAAATGGACAAAGTTGACAGAGGGCCATCCAGGGTACATACCTACCAAATATCAACGCAATTGAGCTGATAGTTTCCAAGAAGAAGTCGAACATGGGTTGGCATAAATGATATCACAAATGGACAAAGTTGACAGAGGGCCATCCAGGGTACATACCTACCAAATATCAACGCAATTGAGCTGATAGTTTCCAAGAAGAAGTCGAACATGGGTTGGCATAAATGATATCACAAATGGACAAAGTTGACAGAGGGCCATCCAGGGTACATACCTACCAAATATCAACGCAATTGAGCTGATAGTTTCCAAGAAGAAGGTGAAAATAGAATTTTTGACGGACGGATGGACGACGATAGATAATAGAATATATGAGAAGTTCTGCTTTGTCATCTTAGATGTAGTTATGATGCTAAGACATTTAGAATAGATTTTCCTTGTCTTTGAATTTTTGAAATAAGTGATCCTTTTTTTGACTTGGAATGTTCATATTTATGGAACACGGAACATTTCATTTAAGTGTCTTGTAAAGTACATTTAGACACTTAATATTTCTACTAATAACAATATTTTGCAATATCATAGATTCCATTATAAATTAGACGTTCGTGATTATATCGGAATTTTTAGTTTTTCTTTGTATTTAAATGTTTTTTCAGGAAAAAAAAAAGTATTAAAATATTCGGACAGTAACTCGCATGTCATTTTTATTGGTATTACATAAGATTGGATATAAGATTGATAGAACTATCGTTTTGTATAGCCCAGTTTTTACTATTAATGTAGGATCCGTGTTATATGTAAGTGTATTTTTGAACATATTCAAAATCGGGTTTATTATTGCACAATTAAAAATACAACCTCCCATCGTTCTCTTCAAGTTGGTATTGTTATTTGTCTGCCATATTGTTATTGCAAACCAATTAAATAGCTGAGTCAAGGCAAAACTTTTTTTTTACAATTCTATGAGTTTATTTCATCTTTATTTCATTTGATATGTTCGATCTGACCTTTGGAAGTATTTGAGAGTAATATATTTTCTCGAGCTCTTTAGCTGTTGCTGGTACTGCATGGAACAATGGTAACTATGGTATAGATCAATGATTGTTTATTTTACTGTGCATTTAAAGAATATATTAAAGAATATTTAAAGAGATATTGCAGCTCACTTCCATGTTTAAGCGCAAAGCATTCTGGCTGTTTCGCATAACATGACGTAATAAACATTTCTTTTCTTCCAATATGGAGAAAAAACGAATGCTGCTCTTTTGACTGCGTTCTGACTGTGCATCTTGTATCTTAGAACCTGGATCAGATGTGCTTGTTTTTATGCAGGGCTACATTATCAAGTAAATTGAAACTGAATACGAAACCCTGAGCAGATGTGCGTGTTCTTTTTATGCATCACCAATTCACACTGAACCGTAAACTAACATTAGTGTATCGAAGTCATGTCTGTGAGCCTCATCTGTAGGAATGCTTAAATACTTGCATACTGAATTCTGTGATTCTGTCAATTGGAACGACAAGGAGTGATTCTTAACAATTAACGATTTCGTATAGAAGTAACAACATTGCATAATATACTTTTTCATATTAAGTTTTAGTTTTCATCGCTGACACCAACCAAGTGGTAATTTTAAGATATGTTTTATAGTGATGGACGGATGAAACGTTGAAATTCAAATGAACAGATGGTGAATACAATAGGGAATACATATATAAAAATAGCAGGCGATACACGTTCCAGTAACCATTTCTCTGGTATGGTTTAACCGATTCCATTCAAACTTAGTACATAGTCCATGTATGATGATTCACATATCTATGTTGATTTTCGTGACGATTAGATAAAATGCGGCTGATTGGCAGCCATTTTCCTCCTTATAGCAGTTTTTTGGGATGGACTCAACGAATGCATTCAAAATTTGTACCAGGATCATATATATTGGGTTACAGATGCACGTCATATATTTTTTGAGATTCGAAAAAAATGAGTGATTGGCAGCTTTTTTATTTTATTCTATTTTTATTTGTCTGTGCCCATTCCTCGGTAATATATCACCTGATTCAGTTGAATGTTTGCCTATAAGTTCTACGCATAGGTTATGCCGTAGGTCGTGTTATCTTGGGTGGCTTGATCTAATTTGTCTTATTGTTGGCCTTTTTGTCTAATATATATACATAAGATATATCACATTATGTTGTTTTTTCTATTTTACCCGGAAATCTGCATTTTTAAAACTGCTCTTTTAAAACCTAACTATTATGAATAATGTACCCTTTCTCACTGGGCGACAAAAACCTGAAATAGGCAGACTTATTGTCTAATTAAACCAATAACAATATACACGGGATAATATAACATGCATATTATATGTATTTTTAAATTTCTTGGGTCAGCGTTTGAAATCAGTGGTTCTTAGATGCTCGTCCGGCGTTGAGCATAAATGTACAGAAGTTAAAGCGCGGTGGTCGTCGCGCAGCGCGTGTTCGAATTTCATGTAAATAAACAATGTATTTAACACGCGTTGTATACGTCGCTGTGAGTCTCATATCGAACACGACGCGGCGCGACGACTTCCGCCCTTTAATATCGAAAAGTGTGTTTTCAAACGAATCTACCCTTTCCGCAACTCATCTATGAATAAACGAGACATAATATAGGAATATGTTCGGACATAAAACTCGACCTCGGGAACGTTGTTCGCTTGCTTTTGTAACTATTGAGATGACACGTACAATAGAAAAAAACACCGCTCCCAGGATACCAAGTGTCGAACACAACACAGTCGATTGCAGTGAAAATGGAGTCCTTTCCACTGTGGCTGCGATTCTTGGCTCTAATATGTAGCGCTTACACGGTGTTGGCGTACGGTAAGTCATCCGTAACATGTTACGTTATCGCAAGTCATATTTTAGTAATTATTGATCTCAAAATATGCGATCTGTAATCGATATGTTTGTAAATAACGTGTGGCAGGTCGTTAACCAACGATTCATAGCACTGGTATAAAGCGTAAGCTGTAGCTTTGATCGCATCAACCAATCTGACAATCAATGCGATATACTTTCTCCACGATATAATTTAAATTATTATGACCATTGAATGCGGTAACAGCTTACACTATTCATCTAAAGTCATGATCTGTGCTAGTTTATGTTTCCTCGATAGCCCACATTGTAATCATTTCCTGCTATGGGTACATCGACCACAAGTGATCGATATTATTAATCGGAAAGAGCTGCTCTGTTAAAATTCCCACGTTGTTGATGAGATTAACTTAGGGATAATAGTGAGAATAAGGCGTCGCCAGAGAAGACTGTCACGTCCTTTAAAAAAAACAATAACTCATATACAAGTATAAGTGTCGCTCCTTTGTTCATATCCTCACGAGATTTGACATGTAAGGCGATACGCTGTATTGTATTGACCACCTTAAGTGTGCTACCCCAGTCGGCAAACACAAACTACGCAATATTCTAGGATACCAGCAATCTGGTATATGGTTGTAAAAAAAATAGTTGTCAAAGAGATACCAGTAAAATAAAAACAGTTTGTCATGGGTTGAATTGAATAGAACGAACGAGGTCATAAACCGTGACCGTGTAACTAAGGAGCCATTGTATTGTCGAACCCACCCACCTACCCTCGTTCGTCAGTGTTTACGCTGACTGAAGGCTTTGTTCGTATACAATGGAGTATTTTGAATGGCCTGTGGAAAAACGGTAAACAAACTAAATTAAGGTTAAAATAATTTTACTTTCAATTATTCAACGCACATTTGTGTCTGGCGGCGAACTTCCATTTAATCGTTTTAATGTACTTGCATAATTGGTCAACTATTTTTTATTTAAATATATATATATAATTTAAACTACAACTACAATGCAAAACATGAACTAGGATTAAAATTTCGAGCTGCACATCGGGTAACGAGTATTCTACATTTTTAAAACAGTACAAGTCATCCCAAGTGGTACGCAGATTTTAGATTCCGGTGACAGTATCACACTATCCTGTGAAGCAACTGAATCGGCTACCATGGATGCGTCCTTTGAGATCGACGAAGATTGGGAACCGCAGAGAAATGCCAGAAGACGGCGAAGCGTGGATGTGAATCCTTCGCCAGCCGTCGGTCACTTGCGGAGGTCAGAGCGTGCGACGGGTACAACAACGATTACCAGTGAGTTGAATAGCCTAGGCCCCTTGGATACACATCGATGGGTTTGTAAAAGTGAAAATAAAGACGGTGAACCCATCAGTGTCGAAACGGACACTGTGGATATCGTCGTCGTACAAGGTGAGTATGCAATTCCGTTTCTTGCCAAAATATGTGATCACAGAAAATTGAGATTTCACTGTTTAATCGTTTAGAACTTAATGGACTGAAACGAAGTTAGGCCGCGATTCCGGGCGTATTAATATTAAGGAAGGACAACACGTGGTACAACACGTGCCTTGTACAGGTCGGTTCTATTCTGCCCGAACTGTCCGTTATTGAGGTGATTATTCACTCGTGCACACTGTGCATAAAGTTAAAAGTGACATTAACATATATTACGACCAGTAACCAGTGCATGTATACCGTCAACCAAAGTTCAAAGTGACGTGAATATATTATTGCTTCTTTACGAGTACATTACCTGCACGGGGAGGCTTGCGACGCTTGAATTAAAGCGATAGTTCAAAAGATGTGAATTGAAACAATGTTTAGCATCGGGACGTTCTGTCCTATAAAGGCAGGCAAGTCTTCAGAAAGACTGACAATCACAGGCCCATTCAAGTCAAACTGTTAATTAAAACTTTTAGTGACAGTACATCTTTTCAAGAACACAGGTATAAATAAGATTTAAGCACAGAACATTAATACAACCGCCAACGTTTGTCTGCATAGCAAAGGATGTTATATTCAAATTACATTTCTCGTGACTTCTTGGTGCAATCCCACGGATCGCGGGGCCTCGCTTTGATACAACTTAGCATACTGTAAAACATGTATTTTTCGCGAGCATGTCTTTTTCGCAAATTTAGCGAGAGAACTGATTCGCTAATTCAAGATGTCCCCAATGGCTTTATTCAATTCAAAATGACCGCCAAACAAAGAAATCGACAATGACAAGAGAGATTCGATAAATCAACATTTCGCTATTACGTCATTTTACCACAATTCGCTAAAATTGCATGCCGCTTTTTCAACATGTTTTACAGTATAACGTAAGATGTCTAAATTCAAACTGTATTTCATTTTAGTGGATACTGCAGACAGCGTCATGGTAACCAACGGTGACGATTCCGGTGCCGCCATCTGGTGTACTTGCGCCGAACTGAACCCGAGTTTGTGTAGTATCACTTGGAAAAAAGACGGCAAGCTAATAGATTCTCCGTCGGGAGGTGAAATAGACGTGGACGGTGACGACATACCGGATGCGTTGATGTCGAGCGATACGCAAACGCTCGCGTTCATGGGAAACAAGCAGTCCGATTCCGGGGTGTACAGATGCACCGCAGAGGTGACCGTAGATGGGATAAGTAAGACTATGCCTTCAGTTGACATCAACGTTGACAGTAAGTATTACGTAATATGTATTGTAGAACCATGGCACTGATGACATTCATTGTGCTTGATGCTGGAAATGAACAGGAAAGTTTGAAAAATTGTTCGGTGATTACATGTATGTTGTTGTTGTTGTTGTTGTTGTTGTTGTTGTTGTTGTTGTTGTTGTTCAATAATCTTAAAACAATTAGCTAATATACATCATGTACAGCAAGAACATTGTCATACGTGAATAATTGTATTCGTCGTTATACATCTCTGAACACGTGACATGCAGATCAGATGCATATGACCGATAGTCGTAGCTGGGCATCACGCAATCCCCCCAAAAAGAAATAAAAAGGGAAAAAGTTTGCACACAATCTCACCTCACCGCCATAGTGTTTTGACGGGAGGAGGAACTACCGTAAATAGGCTGTGGTTTTACGACGATGTGCGAATTCGAAGGCAAATACTTATACTTCAGTAGCGTACTAAATGATAGGATGAAACATAATACCTTTAATTAAATTGTACGCGAATATGTATCTGGTTACATACAGTTAATTCTGGGCTGATACACTGATACGATTGTTTTATTTTTTCTTCCCAGTACGTACTTCAATTGACGTTCCTCCAAACACAGGTAATAATCATTCTCATATTTTATGAAACTAGCATCATTACATATATATACATCAATTACAATTCGTTTTTGACCTTCAGTTAATAGGACGTTGCAGAGTTGCAGTGTTCATGTATTTTCATCAGATGAATAAACTTCATAAAAGACGAGAAAGGGGCAAGATTATAGAATACCTGTGGAAGGTGCAAGTCTCACAATTCTCTAAAAGACAGACATATTTTCAATTGAACGTTCAGAGTGAACATTTTTATGAGAGCCCGTACGATACCTGACTTATCCCGGTTGTTACTGAATATTTATTGTTTCATGATTACGTATTGTTTTACCCAGATACTGATCACTGTGATGTAGTTAACGATGAAACGGACACTGATGGCGTAGTTCTGATGTATTTTCAACTACCGGACTGGGAAGGGCATAAATCGTACTCTGGAAACTTAGTGTTCAGCGTGAAAGCCGCCAGTAGCGTTGTCGTCCGCCTTCAATACAGTCAGAGCAGCATGAATTACTTCGAAATCATCCTCGGAGCCGACTCTAACACCAAGTCGATCATCCACCGCTACATCGGTACTAGTACGGACACAGTATCTGCCGAGACTCCAAGGGTACTGGACTCTTCAACTTACAAGACGTTCGTCATTTCTTACGCGTACGACATGATCACCGTCCGAAAAGACGACGAAACCGAGGCGTTCATTCTCCTGACGCACCGCGATGCTAACGATTTCACTCCCGCAATTAATGTCAAACAAGTAGAGTACGGTACAAGAAATAGAGTGGAAGGCAGCTTCACCTTCTGCCACCCAGACCCACGAGGTAGGAATATGAATAAATAACGCCACGGGGCAGAGTTATGCCGTTTCTGGCTGGTTGAGATCTACTGTCATTAGAATTTGTCAGAAAATATTGTTATCCTGAAAAATTAATCTGGTATAGGCTCCCTGGAAAATGCTTACGCTATAGAGTTTTTGTCGTTTTTGTTCCCTTTGCCGTCATTTTCCTGGCTTTCGGGACTGGAAGTTGTATCCTTAATTTAAATGCGCAGTTGTACAGCTTCAATAATATTATGTAGAGATACCTTGAGATTTGACTGACATTTAATTTGCCAGTGACGAGTCGGGGCATTCTGAATAGACGATTGTTAACACAAGTGTTTTTATATATGTTTTTAGACAACAGATTTTACCTGTCGCCTCCTGAAGAAGTATGGGGCGCCATTCTTACGGCCCTAATAGGATGTTTCGCCGTGATCATTGCGATAATTCTGGCCACCGTCACATGCGGGTAAGCTTCTAGATTTGTTTGTTTGTTATTTGATTGATTAGACTGCGTTATTTTAGAAAAACTGAATTTATTTTGTTCCGATTCATTTGTCCCTGATGCAATCATGATTCACATATAGGGCGTGTCCTCGTAAACTGTTTTGGTAGCTACTTGCTGGTTCCCGGCGTCCCTTGCGAATTGCAAGTAGGACGCAGGTAACTCAGGAGTAATCATCATATTGTTGCTCTGGGCCGGAATTCCGACCCAAAAGCTCGTGACTAAGTGACGTAATTTGAACACATTCTAATATTCGTTTTCCGTAAACAAGACTTAATTACTTTAAATAACGCCATGACCATGTAGTCTGCAGATGCACTGTTCTAGCATTTCTCGCTGTTTCTGTGCAAATTGATAACAAATTAAAGCGTGAGCACTGAAGTCAGGCAACCAAAGGAAATAGAACAAGCAACGAAAAAGTGACGGACCAATTGTAATGCTGGTACATGTACTTTTACTAGTTACCGGCCTTCTGTGGCTTTGCGCGCCATGACACTTGAGGCGGGAAACAGCCAATGGCTGCTGTCGAAAGAGGTCACATATAATATCATGCTCACAAGTCAAAATCATGCAATGACATTTTACTACCACAATAGTTTTACACATTTTTTTTTACTCAATAATTATACGCATTTTCATTTCATTCACAGAAAAGCGAGTTGCTCATGTGATTGCTCTGGAGATGATACCACAGACGCAGCGGAGGATAGCTCAAAACTTGCAGTGGGTATAAAAAGTGACTTTCTGCCCCTGTCGCCCTCTTACGGTGGTCGTGATGAGAAGAAAAAACGAAAGAAACACAAGAAGCACAAGAAACAATCGTGGTCTCCACGGGATGACTACAGTGGAAGTTACAGCGATTAGGCAACGTCCGAAGGCGCTGTGTTCTTGCTGAAAATAACGTAAACTGTACACGAATCAGACGAAAATGCAGGACAAAAATCATCGAATAATGTTTAAATGACATTGCCCAATCGATTTGTGCCATACATGGAATTAAATTGACATTGTCAGAGTAAACAACTGAATCGAAAGATTAGGCGCATGCCAACCTGAAATTTAAAAGATCACAACTTAAAAAGAACACACTTTATTTTTGACTCCCATGTGCGAAGCACAAAATGGGAGTCTTTGCAGTTAGTGTGTCTGTATGTGTGTATGTGTGTATGTGTGTATGTGTGTATGTGTGTATGTGTGTCCGACTGTTCCACTGCTATCTCAAGAACCATACATCGGTTTTTGATGAAACTTGGTGCATAGATGCTCTGGGCCAATGCGCAGATTTGATTAGGTTTTGGTAAAAATCCATGCTCGTTAATTACCTAATTTGCATGATAATTAGCTAATTTTTAGCTGTTCTATGACTGTTCCACTGATATCTAAAGAACCACTCATTGGATTTTGATGAAACTTGGTACATAGATGCTCTGAACATATGCGCAGATTTGATTAATTTTTGGTAAAAATCCGTGCATATTAATTACCTAATTTGCATGATAATTAGCTATTTTTTAGTGGTTCCATGACTGTTCCACTGATATCTAAACAACCACTCATTGGATTTTGATGAAACTTGGTACATAGATGCTCTGAACTAA